ATTTGCACAGAAAATGTTTTTTTTCAATCGTTCAAGCGTTAGTACCCGTGTGATGCAAATTTTTCTTTGTAGTTGAATAATAAATGCCGTGTACCTCATATGGCGCACGTTGCCTAAAAAGATGAAAGTTTCCATCCCAGGCGACATGCACCAATAGAGGCTCACGGTTTTTATGTCAGAAGTGTTATCAATTTCTTTATCAGGGTGGCAAATTCTACATATTAGTGTTAATGAATTTCAACTGGAAATTCATTAACACTAATATGTAGAATTAAAAAAATTGATAACAACAATAAATTGATAAAGAAATTGATAACAACAATAATCTATAAAACTAATCTATTCAATAATCTATTAATCTACTAATTAATAGATTAATCTACAAATCTATTCAATAATCTATTCGACAATAATCTATAAAAAATATCGTGAACGATTTCTCGATCGTTCACAGTGTAACTAAAATGACTCAAGGGACTAGTCTGATAGCCGAATATTTTGATAGTCAAGAGAATTGAAATGAGAACGGCTAGTGCTTCGAGAGAGCGTTGCCTCACATTGACTACCGAGCTTCTCTGCCATAGAGAGAAGTTGAGTTTGTCGCTAAGGCAGCTGCGTCCTGCGTACCGATCAGCAACAGTTATTTGCTTGGGCCAATATTGTGGCAGCTACTGACTAGTCGTTGTGCTGATGCGGTTTCTGCTCGTGTTTCCGCAGTGCGCTCTCTTCCTTATTGGACTGAATGTACGAGCCACCCGTTTTGTCACTTTGTTTTAGACTATTACTGTCAAGTTCCTGATTTTAAAGTGCCCTAGTCTGTGTCCAATAAAAGTGTTTTAAACCTCAGTGTTGACTGGAAAACTTTTGTTACACCAATAGTTGTAAGAGAACTATTAGATTTAACTTTCGTGACTGACGTTTCGCCCTTTTAGAGGTGGCCATCTTTGACGTGTGGAACGTCCGGTCACAACACTAATGTCAAATAATTATCTAACAATACAATCATAAAGTAAACAATATTTCTCAATTACAATCCAATTGAGCAAGTAAGTGCATAGCTTAATATAAAACAAAAACTATCGTTCCTCGCACTCCCACTTTTCCGTCATTCCTCAATAAGGTGCGCCATTAATAACTTTAGCAAGGCTTCCTCTAAGCTGAATTAATTGTTGAATAAAGTTTATTCGTTGCATTATAATCCTGAATCGTGATTATCCATGAGCTCCGCTGTGAGAGATACTCGCTTCTGTTACAGATTATAGAAAATGATGTGGGGGCTGATTTTAAGTATTAATATTGCAAGCAGATACGAGTAAATTTGATCTGTGGATGCTTCTTATTTATGTTTCGCCTTCGCGATTATGAACCATTATTTCAAATTAAAATCCTAAATTCTATAAAAAAAGGCACGTCACATTTTTCATTGTAAGAATTACTTGAAACCTCCTTAGTAAAAATTACGCATCAAATCATTGAAGTGACCGTCTCAACTTTGGATAAAATTTACTGATATAAATATCATGCTTGTTACGTAACATTATTAAATTCAACCAATTTTAGAATTTCGAGTGTCTGTAGAATGTTGATATTGTAATTGTTGGCAAAACATCGTATTTTTCAATCTTTGTGCTCAAGGTTCAATTTTTCTGTATTTTTATCCTAATATTTTCTCTGTCATTTCACTCAGAAGCCACGTGATTTTATTTGTTCTGAGTAGGCAAAATTGGCAAATGAATATTTTTTCAGTTTTTTTTTGTATCTTTTTGGTATTTTATAGCAGTTCCGGCTAATTTCGTTGAACTTGTTAACTCTCACGGCGAAACATGTATTAGTGAGTCAATATTAATGAGTCCTAACCCTTGAGCGTTTTTTCGCAATATCTATTTTATTTCTGAATAATAATCATTTTTATATCCTAAAATTCTAAACAAGTTCAGTTTCCGGACTAATCTAATTATTTTTAGGGTAATTATATGTAAGTTCAGAGATATTTCCAGGGCTAATGTTTGTTTCTGAAGTTATTTGTGATATTTACGCACTCCAATAGTATTCAGGAGCTTGTCATGTATAGCGTTTTTATTAACCTCATTTTTAGCTATTGTTTATGTTTTTAATTACTCTTTTAAATGCAGATATCCAGGAAGGCCTGCCCCAAGTTTCCTACGTGAAGGCCATAGACGTTTGGATGGGAGCTTGCACCGGTGAGTAATAAAATGTTATTATTGTTGTGGAGCTTCCAACCTCTTAACGAACTGACGTCTCCCCGACACAAGCCTCGTGATCGTTCTTCAATAAGCTATTTTAGACCAAGGATTTTCTTCAATGAATAAACAGTTGAAAGTAAATATAATTAACTATGAATAAATAGAAACAAAACCACAAACCTAACCCATAATTTAACCCTAACCGTGCGTTTCAATCACATCCAATTTACTTCACAAGTCCAATAATAATTTGATGCCTACCTGAAATAGAACAAAAATAACGCTTGAACCACAGAATATGAATTGATAATAAACAAATTAACACGCACAAATAATCATCATCACGGAACAATTCACTCTAAAATTGAACAATCACAAATATAATCACAGAGCTATCGATTAACGTATCTCCACGGCAAGAACAGACACAAGATAAACAAAACGCCCTACTGCTTGGTGGTCACGGCTAAGGTGATTGAAAGGAAGACTACCTCGAAAAACCAACTCGTGTTTTATATATTATTATTAATATAATTTTTAAATAAATATATTTTTGGTTTTACTTCACGAAGAGGCTCAAAATATTAATTAATAAATATTGGTTTACTTCTCGTATAAAAAATCTCGTGAAATAATATAATAATAATAAATATATAAATAAATAATAATATATAATAAAAAATCTCGTGAAATAATATAATAAATTATATTACATTGCAACTTAAAAAATATATTTACAGCAATAAATCTATTTCCCCTTCATTTTTAATATTATTAACTAAACGATTATTATTAATTACAGAATTATCTTATTGCTTGAACGATAGATGTTCCGCAGCCTAACCTCAAAATAAATTTATGTAGCACTAACTCCAAAGAATCAGAATTTAAAACGTATTATTCCATCATTTAAGCAGCATGTATTATTTATAGATAAATTTACATCAGTTAAACGTATGAAAAACTAAACACTTCAAAATGGAAACTAAAATGACATTTTCAGTGAATGACTTTAATTTGAAATAGAACACACAATAAGAAATTAATAATTTTTTCATGCACGGCCTATATGATTTTAACGGACTTTAGAGTAGGTTTGAGTTTCAAAAATTTGAAAGATTTTTTTGTGTGTAGCAACGTTTAATAACATAATTTTAAAGCTCAAATTTAAACGAACTCTTTCTATGAAATCAAATTTACAAATGATTGAAATTATTGCAGTATTATATGAATCGAGTATACCAGAAGTTATTTAGACTAACTTTCCTGTAAACAGTATCTATAATGTGAAATAAAGGTTCTTAACCACTCAAAATTTAAATTTTAGATATTTGCGAATCCTATAAGTCCTATAATCTAAAAGGAATAATCGAAAAATTGCTGCACAAATGCACTATTAATCTAAAAAAACAAGTTGAATTCTTATGTACAATCAAACAATAGCTCCCAACTAAAAAAACACAACTAGAAGTTTATTAGTTATTTGTTGAAAACATAATCACAGAAGATTGTTTTTTCGGTCGGAGTATATCTGAAAATGAATCAATTCTGAACAGAGGTAAAAATCATGAATAAAAAGAGTTTCTCAAGTCATGCACAAGAGTACACAACAAAACAAGCTCTCAATCAATCTAAAGTTATTACAAAACAAAAACTGCACTGTGAGCCTCTTCGATCGTTAACTCTGTACGTAAACAACTCTGAATGCATACCGGTACTCAAAAATGCCGTTATGAATCCCTGCAGAAAAATAAGGCTTGAGAGCAAAGGGACTTCAGGCAGCAACAGACACTCTCTGTGAGTGTGTGGGATTGAGATTCCAGTTCCCCTTTATGCAAAGCTACCGAGACTGACTGTTCGCACAAGCGTTTATTCCCTAAGCGGCTGTCTTTATTTCAATGCTATCCTAACAGATAATTTAGACTTCCACTTTTTATTAAGCTTACCGTGAACTTCATGCATCCGGGGCCGGAGAATACAAAATGGAAAAATTACTGGTTGCATTTGAAAAAAAATTAATAACTGGAGTACATTGACAAAATGTTAGTCTCTTGCTGTATCAATTTATTTATAGAATAATTGTAAAATTTTCAATGCGTTTATACATTTAAATTAAGCAATAATCCACTGCAATATTAGTGCCATCTGAGAAAAAATTCATGGCATTTTGATAATAATTTGAATCGGTAAATTCATCTTTACACTCACAATCATTACAAAAAAAGTATATTCAAAGGATTGATAGATAACCAGTTTTGCTCGATTAACATTACAGCTCTGTTGGTTAGAACCTCTTATAGGGGCCCAGCAAGTTAAGCTGTCGGCAGAGCATCAATCAGCTAGAGAATCAGTGTGGTGCGAACTTACTCTAAAAGGCAAGGATAGCCTTCTCATATAGGGGCCATTTATAGATCACCTAACAGGAACTCTGATAACAATAAAGTACTAAACAGCCTTTTACCGAGCATGGCTTTTAGCAGGTCGCATACGTTGATCGTTGGTGACTTTAACCATCCAGAAATAAACTGGGCAGATAAATCTTTTCCAAGAGATGGGAATCACCCAGCATCCCATGTTCTTGGAGTCTGTGCGTGACTCAATTTTAATCCAGAACTTCACCAAGCCAACCCATTTTAGGGGTAAACAGACCTCAAATATTCAAGATCAAGCGTTTCCCTGTAATAATGATATCCTTCTTTGCATTCAAAGGATCATAAGATAGCCATGACTAAACGAATAACATTGCAAAACACAAAAACCATACAAAAGTTCCACCATCGAACCTCTTATCCCCAGCGTTCGTGTTCTGCGCGCTGTTGGAGTTTACCCTCGTGAACTACATGTGGCGTAAGCGACCCCAGCCCAAACTGCCGAACCTGTTCGGACTGAACGGCGGTCGCGTGGCTGGACGCTCGGGTGGCGATATCTGCACCAGCTGCAAGGAGAAGAAGGGCAACGACTCGGCAATCTTCCCGTCCCCTAACATCGCTGTGAGTAAAACAGAATTAGTATAATTGCACACAAGGAGAACAGTGATTATATTGTTCGAAGAGATAGAAAAATATCGTTTAGTGTTATTTTTTACCGTTTTATCGATGACCAGATTAGATGACCAGCATCTCTACTATTTGGGTTACACAGTTTTAAAGTATGTGGCAACATTTCCGACAGGTGAGCATCAGTGACATTTCACGGCTGAAATTACTCAATTCGCGGCTCAATTTATTTCCGTTTTATAAGTTACGTGTAATCTCAGTGAAAAAAAGAAATACCCCAATAATTTTGCAAAGGTCAGCCGACCCTGAAACGCCGTTCAAACTAATGTTTTTAACTATAATTTTTCAAACTGTGGATGACATTGCCTTCGAGGAGGCGTTTCACGTGTAAGAAAAAAACTTTGCAGATTTGTCAGCCATTCATTTTAGAATCAACATGCAAACTCAAATCAACATTTTCAATCTCGGCACAATAATATTTCGTTTGGATAAGATCTTCGACTGATTTACTGATTGTGATTTTGTTTGCATTATTCAGCTGAGCAGCAAGCTAACGGACGAAGCTCTAGCTGCTCTGCCCCTGCAGCTCGTGGCCAGCCTCGCCAGCAACTCCAAGAGACGCGTGCACGCCATCGACTCCAACTGCCGCGTGCTGTTCCCGCTCAGCTTCATGTTCTTCAACGTCATCTATTGGTGTTATTACCTGCTCTAAGTTCGAAGTTTTTTTTACTTGAAATGGGAATTTATGATTTACGAGAATCAAAGCTTATTTTGAGTGCACAGTTAAAAACAGTTAGTGCACAGTTAAAAACATCGATTCCATTTGTTATCATGAATAAGTGGTTCATCACCTTCTGTTATTGGAAATCAATCCAGGCACATTCCGTAAGATCGCTTTAACCAAACATATGATGACTTCAACCAAACTCTTCACATGGTATTATTTTCCATGCGGTACATTTATTTCATTTACAGCAAAACTTGTCTTTTCACCGAATCTCCAGCGCTATAGAGTTTTGGTATGTCAACCTGCACCCCCACAGACATCGTAATTTTCATGAAAGTATGAATAAAAGGACAGCAAGTGCCATCTTGTGTATCAATATTTATGATGGATACACATGACTGTATTTTACATTGTTGTGATGTGTATTTTGTGTGTCTTCTATAATTTCATGGCAAATGCTTACAAGGAAAGTTTGCCTTCCAGCAACGAAATGTTGGAGACCTCTGGCTTAAAGATTGATAACTCATCACTGTTGCAGGTATATATGTACTATATTTAATGAGGTTATTTCACTTTCTACAACCTATATTTGTGCCAGAGAAATGAATCATGAGAGGATTGCGAGCCTGTGCATTGTTGAAAATAGAGGCATAGGCGACCTGAACTTTATATATAGTTGAACTTTTGGCCCTGTAAAGCTCGCATAAAACAGTGGCCATAAGGTGTATGCATGCATTGAATAAATTTATTTATTTATTATGCAAATAAATAAGAAAAAATTAAATTTTTTTTATTCTTGTTAAATAGATTGCTGTCAATATGTCTTTGGAAGCGAACGTAATAATAACGTCAATCGCTCAGCAGAAAGAAGCCTGACAGAACTCGGCAGACATAGAACGGCCCTAATCATTCCCGTTGCACAGCATCTCATAATGAGATGTTAGGTTTGTTCTCTCGCCGTTTTATGACTACCCATTCTTATGTTTTTTTCATAAATGTGCTGTTCTGGGTCAATTATTGTTCTAATTTTAGAGAATAATTGCGCGGTGATAGCATTTGAGGGAACACTTCTCACACCAGAGTTTTAAATGGAATTGAGTTTTTATTGCGTTTTATTAGAGGAAAAACTTTTTATTCTCCAATGTACAATATTCCAATGCTTGGACCATCTCAACCATGCTGTGTAAGAAAACAAAAATTAAAATAAGAGGGCATTCAAAAGGTAATTACTCAGGCGATCTATCAAACACAGTTATCTTATTTTTTGGGGGGGTTTCCGGCAGATGATAGCAGTGCATATTCCGATAGTGTTATAGCTACGTAATTAATATGCATGATGTTACATAAA